AAAAGAAAAGAATAAGAATAGATGAAAATAAATGAAAAGAAAAGAAAAGAAAAATAGAGCTCGCAAGGTTGAAAACCTGAAAGGGCTGCCTTGGCAAAAGTTAGAGCACAAAAGGAGGGTGTCAAGACCTGAGTGAACCTCAACTCGGAACTACGTACGACCTGATTCCCATCTTTGGGATATGTAGAAAACTTCATCCTGAAGTTCGGCCCCAATCATTTTTAGCATGCTTGGCTTATCCTTGTTCAAACTCTGCTATGTTATCCATGTGCAAATTGGCTTGTCTTTGTTCAAATTCGGGTGTCCTATTCCGTTAGAAGATTCAGCTACAAGGCAAACCAAGTTCAGATCTGAGGTTGTGCATCTCAAGAGTAAATTCTATGTTAGTCGAGCAGTGACCATTTGCAAAAAACAATTTTGAGGATTTTTAATGAGGTTGACTAATTCTCTCGAAAATTATTCCATTTTTCCAAAACTGGACCATTTCTTGGACCCAAAAATTGAAATTTTTCAGTGCTCATAACCTGACTTGCATGATTTCAAATCAAAAAAATCAAACAAGTGTGTTAATCTAACTTTCATGTTGGTCAAAATTGTTTTAGCACAAGCCAAAAACAAAAAAAAATGGTCAAAATGATGAACTAGGGACACAGTTGAGTCAGGTTTTCTGTCTTTTCCCCATTGTCAACGTACTTGTTGGAAAAGGCACCATATTCGCCAGAAAGGGCACAATTGAAGCTAATGGCAAAGGACGAAAAGCTCTCTCATCCTCCAAGCAGCGAGATACCAAGCCAAGTGCAAAGCACAGATTGAAAATGGAGCTGGATATTCGATTCCCTTATCTGGATGATCACACCCAAATTGGCATCTGACCCAGAATGTATCAGACGGATCAATTGTATACCTAGCCAGTGAGACGTATTGTAATTCATCTCGGTCAAGCTAGGCTAAGGGCATTGTCAACCGATGTCAGTTGCAGATCTGCTACACATCCAGTCATGCCACAACCCCTCTGTGGGAAAGTTCACGAGTTGTGAGCGAAAGAAAAAGAATCTAGTATAATACTAAGGGCAAGAGCCAATAACTTCCTATTTATCCATCAACCACCCAGGGGAGGGATAAAAAATAAGAGAGATTGAAGAATAGAGAGATGTGCGTTGAGAGAAAAAGTAAGGAAAGGGCTTGTCAGAGAAATAGAGATTGAGTGCCATAGTGATGTGAGAATCATAAATAAGAAAGGGTGGGAAACAATATCCGGAGAAACATGTTCCTCGTGAATCGAGAGGTCTCCCACCGATGGATGTCAGAGTATCTGATTGTTGTGTGTGTGTTTTTGTTTGTCTCGATTCTTATTTTGAGTCGTTTTGAGTGTCAATAGATGTGTTTAGGTTGTTTACCTTTGTTTTCCGTTGTTGAGTCGTAGTGTGCTGTGGTCAGTCGTAGGCTCAATACCCGGTTAAGAACTTGTTTCTCAATTTCAATTTCAAAAATAAATCATTTTATACTCAGAGTGTCGTGCCGTTCTCCACATATGTGCAAAATAGGATTTGTTCTTTCATAAAACTGTAGGGTTCAACCCAGGTCGTATGAGAACAATAGAAAAAGGACCTAACTGAAGCTATATAGGTTCCAGACTGCAAAGCACAAGAAAAGAGGGAAAATTTGGAGCATCTGAGCTTGTTTCGCCTTCAGCAAATTCCGGGATTGCATTCCGAATATACCTCTTTAGGCCTTGTCAATGCTCCGAAGTATGAATGTACCTCAAGCTCAAGCTCAAGCTCAGGCCTGCTTCAAAGCCAGAATGGCGATCAGAAGTGCTTTCTTTAAGTACCATTCCCTGTTAGAGACATCTTGGATGCATTTGTAATGAGTTCCTAGGAGATCAACTGAGACGGTGGAAACTAGAGTTCGAATGGCTGATGCCTAGAACATAAAGGTTTGGAATTTCCAAGACTAAAGTCTGGTTTAAATACCCAGGCATGTATCCCCGGCTTGAAATCTGTATGGAAGCCCCATAGGTTGAGGTAGCGTGTATGCGCCTCAATTCTGGATACTGAACCAACCTATTCTGTCACCCTGTTGGAGAATACGGAAAGTTGTGAACATGGCCAAGAAGAAAAGTAGTACCTGTGGTATGGAAGTGTAACCAAGGAAAGAGCAGAAGATCCCCAACATTAGGTACGATATTGCATGTACGGTTCTTTCAAACCTGGTGCAACTAGACGATATTGTATGTACGGTTCATTCAGAGGAATTCCGGGTGAGATCATTCATGTCCTTTGAACATCTCGTTGGTTAGAAACACTCGGGTACGCTCGGTGTTTACATCGACATCTCATTGGTTGGACATACTTGGGTATGCCCGGTGTTTACACCGACATCTCGTCGGTTAGAAACATTTAGGTATGCCTGGTGTTTACACCGACACCTCGTTGGTTAGAAACATTCGGCTACGCCTGGTGTTTACACCAACATCTCGTTGATTAGAAACATTTGGGTACACCCGGTGTTTATACCGACACCTCGTTTGTTAGAAACACTCAAGTACGCCCGGTGTTTACACCGACATCTTGTTGGTTAGAAACATTTGGGTATGCCCGGTATTTACACTGACATCTCATTGGTTAGAAACATTCGGGTACGCCCGATGTTTACACCGACACCTCGTTGGTTAGAAACATTCGGGTACGCCCAGTGTTTACACTGACACCTTGCGTTGGTTAGAAACGCTCGAGTACGCCCGGTTTTTATACCACACCTTCGGTTAGAAGCGTTTGGGTCGTGTGCCCGACGTTTATACCTTGCGTTGCTTAGAAACGCTATGGTACACCTGGTGTTTATACCACACCTCCGTTTAGAAGTGTTTGGGTCGTGTGCCCGATGTTTATACCTTGCGTTGGCTAGAAACGCTCGGGTACGCCTGGTGTTTATACCACACCTCCGGTTAGAAGCATTTGGACTGTGTGCCCGACACTTATACCACCCCTTTGGTTAGAAACGTTTGGACCGTGTGCCCGACGCTTATACCTCTCTTGTTGGTTAGAAGCGTTTCGACCGTGTGCCCGACGCTTATACCACCCCTTTGGTTGGAAACATTGGGATATGTGCCCGATGTTTATACCACTCCTCGGTTAGAAGCGTTTGAGATGTGTGTCCGACGCTTATACCACCCCTTTGGTTGGAAACATTGGGATATATGCCGATGTTTACACCACTCCTCGGTTAGAAGCGTTTGGGATGTGTGTCTGATGCTTATACCACCTTGCTTTGATTGGAAACATTGGGATGTGTGCCCGATATTTATACCATTCCTCGGTTAGAAGCGTTTGGGATGTGTGCCCGATGCTTATACCACCTTGTTTTGGTTAGAAACATTGGGACTTGCCTCGATGTTTATACCACTCTTCGGTGTTTACAGCGCTCTCTTTTCCCTCTCGCGCGTGGCTCGTTAGGACGCTTTGGTCAAATGCATGTGGACGGATTCCGATGCCTATACCGCCTTTTGTTTCGGTTGCATAATGGTTGAATGTGTTTCACTTGTTATCACTGTTCTCTGTGGTTCGGAACCTTAGGATGTGTCCCTAGGTTCACACTATCTCATTCCTCACGTGTGCCATGCGTTGGGATCTTGTTTCGCACCTCGGGTGCGCCCGAAGGTCATATTGTTCTTTATCTTTCCTGCATGATGCGTAGTTAAACTTGCATAATTTTTTTTTACATCATTTCTGCATGAAATGTGGTTTGGTTCATGTTTACTTGCTTTTGTTTGAGTTTGCTGTAACATTTATTTTCATAAAATTTGCACTAGATGTTTCCTTACTGCCCTCATTGCATGATCATAAGTTATGTTCTGCCTCGTGCATATCATTTTGCATCATGCCCCTGAACTACACTGGTTTGATTCCATAAAAAGATACGTAGGCAACCTTCCGATTCAACCGACTGCATTTGCATTTTGTTTATTTGTCCAAGTCTTCGGCCTTGTCAAAAATGGATCGTCTCTAGGTTTTGACATTCACTCACGTCATTTCATGACTTTGAGCTCTGTCAAAGAGGAACAACTGTAGACACCCTATTTTTGACTGCCCTTAAGACTTGGGCGCTACTAATTGTTTACTTGGTGATGAAAGTTGTGTAGTGCAAAGGTTCGTTTTCCTTGACAAGAGGAGAGCGTCAAATCCCAAACCTCACACCCCATTTTTGGGCCAAAACGATTTTGACCAAAATGATTTGTCGGATTGGACTCTTTGGTATTTATCAGTCTCACATTGCACTTTGTGAGATTAGATTCAGAACCGTGACAGGAGTCCGAACTGTAGGACCAGTTCGAGCTCTCCGAAAGGGGGCACGAAGAAAGTCGAGTCTACACTATCCAGGTTCACTATTTCGGAGGATCCATTTTTAATACCTATTGCTCTTTGTTTTTAGAACTCTGCTTTTAATTTCTTCCAATTTGTGTAAGTAATGTCATGTAATACTATGAGACTCGTCTCTCAACTACCTAATAAATATGAGTCATAATATTTCACCATAAAATTTGTTAATACCTGAATGTCCAAAACTACCGAGTAATTACACATTTTCGTAACTTAAACTGTATCGTAATAAGTTTTTGGTGTAAGCTTTCAATGATTTAAATTGTTCCACTTGATATCCTGCCATCTACATGGGCAAAAAACTCTTCTCTCTTATTTGTTGTTGTTGTTGTTTTTTTGTGCACAGCGGTGTTGGGTCTTGGCCTCAAATTTATTAAATTATCCACTGATCTATTAAAGAATCATAACCTCAATAAGTCACAACCAAAGTTTGTGTTGGCAGTAGATAGCTTGACATTTGAATTTGCAATGTGTCAAAGTTTGGGAGGTCAACAAACCAGAGTTTATTAGCATTTCGCTCAACCATATTCATCAAACTTATTATTGTTATTTCAAACCATTTAATTTCTCTAAACATCCATTCTCTATAAATACCCACCATCAAATATTGTTTTCTTCAACGAAGAAAAAGTCCTCAAAGTACAACATCAACCAATATTCAGAGTACTACTCCCAAGTCCTATCAAACAATGGCTGCTTTTCAATGTAGTTTGGTTCTATCTGTGTTCATGGTGCTTTCACTTTCCAGCATCCAGATGAGCTTGGCAGCTCGCAACCTTCTCCAAACAGTGCCTGCAATTCCATCACTGCCAAAGGTCACATTGCCTCCATTGCCCACAATGCCCACATTGCCAACAATGCCGACAATCCCAACCTTGCCAACAATGCCCACATTGCCACCACTGCCAAGCACCCAAATTCCATCATCTTTGCCAAACCCAACATTGCCAACCATGCCCACTGTTCCTCCACTGACTCTGCCGCCCCTGCCTGCAACTTCACTGCCCACCATCCCAACTACAATTCCTTCAATTCCAACCATCCCAACAACAATGCCTACTGTTCCTGTCTTCTCACCTCCTCCATCAAACTAGATCCCCCCAAAGTACTACCATTTTATTCATCTTTCTACTACGTGTGGTATAGTATAGAATAAAGGTGCTATTATGTTATTTGGCAGTTTGAGAGGGTCTTCCTCATGTGTGTGTGTTGTCTTTATTTTTGGGGATTTGTGATAGTCATTTTGTATCATTTTGCTATGAGCATTCTGTATTGTTGTTTGTCATGAAATTCGGTGAGTTCTTTTGCCTTGTTTTATTGAAGTTATCTCTTTAGTGTTCTTCAGCATTGATTTCAAGATTTTCATTGTATTGAATTAATACTATCCATTTCCATTAAAGAAATTACACCAAGAGAAAAAAGGGGAAAAAGTTTATGCCTAAAAACTATCTTCCAAGTAAAAAACAATTACGGTGAATGGAGGAGGTTCAGTTGTGAATGAACACACAAAATTCATTGATTACGAGCATAACCTGATTTTGCACCATACTTTACAGCCATCAAAGGAGAAAATTATGCAATGCTATTAGGCATTGTTCCACATAAATCATCATTTGTAATTCTTATTTTATTTCTTAAAATTCCAGCACAAAATTTACGAAGTCTTATTATATGAACCAATAGCATTCACATTAAGATACCACATAACAATACTCCAAAATTACTAAACTCCATCGAAATAGCAACCATTGAAGCAGACATTATAGAATTTTGCCAACAATTAACCTCTGGCTGAAGCAGGACACATTCATCATAGAATTTTGCAGACAATTAACATCTTATAAATGCATGCAAGTGTTGAATTGGAATTGCCTAGATTGTTGACGTGCAAAAGTTTTTGTGTCCATATATACCTATGTGTGGTATTATATATCAATTATCAATTGTTATTGCTATTGGAGTTGTTGGATAAAATACCAACACAAAAATAATAAGTTTTATTATATAAATCGATCACATTAAATAAGAGTAAATTATATCGTTGGTCAAAGTTTAACTTTAGTTCACGTAGTTTCAATATCATCAAGTTAAACCTGACATTTCCAATTTTGTTTTAATGTGGTCCCTCTGGTAGTTACCATTATCAGTATTTTACTAGAAAATGACACTTGTGACTCACGTGAGAATTTAAAAATTTTCATACAAAAAATAAATTAACAAATTACATCGATGGTTCTTATAGCTTTCCAAATTTTACTTCAGTCTTTCTAGTTTCGCATATGTTTTTCTGTACAAAAATGCTAACGACAATTAATGAAATATGATCACATTGAAATGCAATTAAACACGTAGAGTTTAAATTGATGAAATTCAAACTAGGGGACGAAAGAGAAATTTCAAAAAAACTATAGGGATCAACAAACTCTCCCCAATTGATCTCCACA